AGTCTGCATAAAGCTTCACCTACTTAATCCAACGACCACAGACTTTTCCACAAGCACACAGGTTCCATCTTGGAATTCACTGAGGTTCAAGAATTGCACAGACAATTCTTGATGAGATCTAGTGGATTGCTGGCTGCTCTCCTGGCAAGAAAGTCTGCTGGTATTCACAGCTCAGTGAACAGCAAGAAGGGAGAGAGCACCATCCACCAGCGAGGGAGGACTCCTCTGCTGCTACTGAATCTGATATTCTATTCGCACTCACATCATCTCCAGTGAGAAAGATACATCTACTTGAATAAACAGGAGGAGACAGAAGTGGGGAGGGAGGGCAGATAACAAAGTGACTGCAGAAACAACAGGCCCACCATCTTGAAGAGTAGCCCTCAGTGGACTGCTACCTCCACTGAGAGACCTTTGGGCAAGGGTAGGAAATGCCCTTTCAGATGCTGTATCTTCACAAAGTAATGGTTGCAAGCTGTCACCTCTCCCTCTGTTAATGCCTGTCACTCACTAGATGCTGAAAGCACCACAGGCTTCTAGCCAACCAAATGGTCTTGACACCCAGTTAGAAAGTCAAGGTCGGTTGGGAGGAGGAAACCACGATCTTTTTGGCAGACAATGACCTTTCAAAACCATTGCCTTTCCTGACAGAGTGGTAAGGTACAGCCTCGATTGTAAGGGCTAAGATGTTTGCATGAACAGTGATATCTTCAATAGGCCAATCCTTAAATTTCTTTAAAAATTGTACTCCAGAAATGAATGTTCCATTTCATTCTGCCAATACAGGTAAAGTCTACTAGGTAGCAAGCCAAGTCTTTTTGCAAACTCTAAACTCTCCTTACTGAAAAACAAAACAAAGTAAAACAAAACAAAACAAAACAAAAACCTAATGCTCTAGAGAATGTGAGGTAAGCACCCCAGCAAACCTAGCACCTTGAATCAAGGCAAACTATAATGTTCAGAGCAACTCCAGTGGTCATTTTACAGTACCATGTCCAAGCATCTGTCACCCAGTGTTCAGAACTGGGAAGACAGTTAAAATGACATTCTATTGATTCTATGCATCATAAAATATAATTCTAAGATGTTTCTCTGCAAGGGTTCTAAAATCCAATAAAATTTATACTCTCCTTAAAATTTTTATTAGCCTGTGTAAAAGCATCACTAATTATTGAAAAAAATGATGAGGTTATATCCCAGATGAGGTCACAGACCCCTAAACACAAGCAAAGTTCTTTAAAGTGCCATGTAGAGAAAAGGAACCACTCGTTACTCACAGGACATGTGAAACTATACTTGCATTATCTCAATCATCGATGTTCATGTCTCAGAACTTAAATGTTTTCTATTGCATGACAGGGACCTTCCAAACACTAATTCACAAGCATGCATACACACGCAAAAGAGAGAGGGGAAAAAAATGAAGGTGAAGGCAGCGCTAACAAGATAGCTCAGTGGATAAAGGCACTTTGTCACGAGACTGGCAATTTGAGTTCGATCTCCAAATCCATACAAAGATAGAAGAAAAAAACAGACTTCATGGAGTTGCCCTCTGTACACATACACACACACACACACTATGAAAGATTTTAAAGACTTGAGAATTAGGCTTCTGAAAATTAATGTAAACGTCCCCTTATGACTTGCATTGAGCAGAAAAATCCCAAAGGTCTGTCTCTGTAATGGTCCTAGGCTGATGAGGGCAATAACACTCTGTTCTAAGCAGCATCTCTGCCTGCCAGTCCCCAATGGCTTCATCTCAGCTGCTATGGACATATTCTGATTCCCCCTTGTACTCATCACACCACAACCTGGACGAGGACACAAGCCGCCTGATGCAGCTCCTTGCTTTCTAAAAACGCTGATGACAAAGGATCTGATAACATGCAGTTATCAATACTCTTCCTCTCAACCAAAAGGGCTGTGCTACTAGGTCCAATCCCCATGTGAAACCCTGGCTTCTCACAGGGTGTCACCTACAGCAGACTTCTGTACTGTCTAATTTCATCTGCCTAGGTGAAATAACACAGCATCTGAATTAACTTACACATATGGCCTGATAGGCTTGTCACCAATCATATTGCACAGGGAAACAGGAAATTGCTTTCTGCAAATGTTACCAAGGCTTTCTGGGCTGGCCCCACCCAGAAAGTACAATCTTCCCCGGCTACAAATGACTCTCACTCAAGTGGTGATCTCAAAACCCATCTCTGGAAGTGAGGACTCCAAAGAATCTGTCACTGGGATACAGTGACACCAATCTCACATTTTGTGGTTAATAAAACAAGTCCTGCATCCAGCTTGGCACGGGGCCCTGGTCTGACTTATTTCAAGCCAAGCTCATAGGAAAAACTGCCATTCATGAATGCTTCAGGAGGGCAGGTCAGCTGGGTCTTTTGTGGTAAAGTTGGCATTCTCAGACCCATTTCTGGTGGACTTTCTGATCAAACCTAGCTGATTTCCTAAAGAGATTTGGTGCATTTTGCTCTTAAAGGGAAACAAAAAAAAATCAATTATAAAATTCTCAGTTTTGACAGGCAGTTTTCACAGAAAAGGTGCTTGTGGAAATAGAAACAGAAGAAATTCGGGAAAAGAGAAAAATATTCTGATTTCCAATTTAATCAAATCAAACACCGGACACTTCACCCCATCTTCCTCAGTGCAACCCAGTATAAGTAAGACGCATAGGACTTTCCTCAGAACGTCTCCTCAGTCTTTCTTTAAGATTTCATGCCCCAGGACTTAATCAGGAATTTCCATTCTAAAGTGGCACACCGTTCTCCTTAGAGAGCTAAGCTTTCTTTGAATAAAAAAAAGGCAGTTACCCTTTTGGGGACTCAATACGTATTTTTAAACCTCTTATTAAATCAACCTAATTTATGAGGCATGTTCAGGAAGAGCAGGTAGCAAGCTGCTTTGGTGGATGCAAAGTTTCTTTGCCATCCCCTCCCACACCCCCAATTCCACCTCCTTTGCCCTCCCCTCCCCGAAGATTTCCGAATGTCTTCGGGCTTTTCCGAAGCCGCCGAAGCCGCTCGGCCCTCTCCGCTTGGACCCCGACTGTGCTCCGAACACTGTCGAGATCCTCCGAGCCCCGCGCCCAGGCCAGGCCGAGCGGAGCCGAGCAACGCCGAGCTCAGCCCCATCGACTTTTCCAGCCTCGGCTGGGCGCTGTCCACCACTTGCAACGCCTGAAACCTCACCCCAGCTCAGGAGGCCGAGGCTTCTACCGGACTCCCAGCCTGCCACAGTGGATTACAGACTTGGGAAGTTTTGAAACCTGCCCCTAAGGAGAAAGAGGTGGCGCGGTTTGCATTTCCCGACACGCGAGGGCTCCAGGCAGATGCAACATGCACCTTGTTGCAAAGAGCAATTCCCCAGGCCCCGCCTCCCCATCCATTTGGACTGCACAAGCCCCAGAGAAACCCCAGGCCAAATTACTGGTGGCTCAGAAGGGTGAGGCTAGCCGAAGGGGCCTGTGAGAAGAAAGCCTCCGGGAGCTCTAGAACGCAAATAAGAACATGCTAAGCAGATAGGGGGAACTGTCTCCTAGTCGCTGCTCCCTACCATCATGGCGCCGCCTGGAACTCGCTTGTCATGCCTGTTACACATGCAAGAATTTTTGCTTCTTGGTTTTGAAATCGCAAGCACGATTTATCTCCCACCCACCTTCCCTCGAAAGGGGTTTTTATTTTCCATTGTTTTCCTACGGGATGCAATTACTTCGGCTATTCTGTCAAGTTGAAAAATAATCATTTTTGTTTACTGCACAGCAACCTCTAATTAGGAGCTGTGTGTGCACGAAGGTGTCACAGCAAAGCGACATGGAATCCTCGCTAAACGGTCCTAACGAACTCCTCCGTCCCGAACTGACAGGCCAACGGAAACAGGGCCAGGAGGCCCGGAAGGCACGCACCCGTTCCCTGCCGGCCACCCCTCCCCAGGCAAAGCTGCCTGTAGGCTCACTAGGAGCCCTGGAGTGGATGGGGCAAGAAGCAAGCCAGAGGAGGAAGGACGGGCGAGGCTCCTTATTGGGGAAATGTGGAAAGGAAGGAATATCCCATTTTGTTTTAATTTTCAGCCATCACTCAAATCCACCCCCAGTTAATTAGGAGGGGAAACTGATATCTAAGGCAGAAAGGGGGCGGTGGCAAGTGGGGCCTGAAATCCGCATTGAAGGTAGACTACAGGGAGCCTGGCCTAAGCAGTGTAAATATAATGATAAAGGCTACACAGTGACAGGAACCTGCGGATGTCAGAAGAGCAAAGGCTGGATGGAGGGCCAGGGAGAAAAGGGGCTGGAGGGCAGACTAGACTTGCTTTCAGTCAGCCCCACAACAGCCTCCCCTTCCACCTCTGCCTTGGATAAGGCTGTGTCTATCACATCCGCTTGGAAACCCACCCTTTCTCCCAAGTGCACGCCCCCTCCCCTAACCCTTGCTCGCTTTGGGGGGGGGGGGAAGAGGGTCTAAACCACAGCCACCAGGAATTCAGCACCAAACTCATGAACAGCAAACACTTGATCCTCCACCCCAATCTGCTAGGGCTGGGTCCCATCCACGTTTTAGTCAAGTTCAAAATCACTGCCTCAAGCAGCAGGGGGTTGGGGGAGTGGGATTCGAGAGGTGGGGTGGAGGAGGAGGGGAAGAGAACGAAGCAGAGACAGAAATGGAGGCAGCGAAACACGAAATACTCCACGAGCAAGAGTTATGATCATAATCACGCCAATAGTGTGATGTTCTGATCAATATGGCGGACGCTGTCATTCATACAACTAGAGGCGCTCCCATTCCCTCCCCCTAAACACCGACCCCAGGAGTTGGGGTGGGGGACCCAGAACCAACGTAGGGAGTAGGGGGAGGGGAAGCAAAACCGGGTTTCTTCTGTGTGTGCACGAATTAAAAACCGGGCCTGGAGAGCAATATGGGTGAGCAAGATAATAAAAACAATATAAAATTATTCTTAATAAAAGTACAAATCCCAATGCCATAGGGACTTACTTCATCTGCTTCACAATGGTGCTTTTTCCTGATTCTCCAGCCCCTGTTGGGACACAGAGGAGGGAAAAACTGGTGAATGTCAGTTCATAGAAATGGGAAGGGGGCTTCAAGGCATGCAAGGGGTGGGCGCTTCTGGGCACATGGTGGTGCCAACTCCGGGACCAGGTCTCCCGGGGCGCAAGTCGGGTAGGGAACTGTGGCCGGGGGTCGAGGGGCGGGGGTGGCTCCCGAGGTCCTTACCCAGCAGGAGTAATTTCACGTCTTTGGCGGCGCTGATGCCATCTTCTTTGAGGTTTTTCTCAATTGCCTTGCTCCGCTCGAGGGCGGCTCTCTCCTCTGCGCTCAGAGTACATCCCATGGTGGCCCCTTCCCTGCCACAGCCCGCACGACTCGGCTGGCACGACTCCCCGGGTCGGCGCGCCCCCCACCCCCCCACAGAGCAGAGCCTGGGCTCAAAGGGGAGAAAATCACGATATCCTCTCCTTGGCTGGGAACAAAATTGTCGAAAGATCAGAATCCCCCCAAAAGGACAGCCTCTATCAAGATTCCAGCGGCGAAGATTAGCGGCGGCTGGCTGGGGTCTGGGGGTGTCGAGGTGAGGGTGGCCGGGATCTGGGGCTCCGGAGCCGAGAGAGGAGGCGCCCGCGGGCCCGGGAGGCGCGGGTTGCAGGCACCGAGGCTAGTGCACGACCCAAAATAAATAAAATAGGAGTCGAGGCTGGATCCGCAGCCAGAGCCGGCGGAGGGTGGGGTGGGGGGCAGGGTGGGTCCTTCTGCCGCGGCTGCCGGAGGCGGAGGAGGAGGAGGCGGAGGCGGAGAAGGTGGAGGCGGCGGCGGCGCGGGGTGTGGAGGGAGTGAGTTAGGGGGTGCCGCTAGTGCATGTGCATCGCAGCTCCTCGGCCGTCGGTGCGTCCGCGGCGCCTTCTCCGACCCCCGCGCGCAGGGCAGGGCTGGGCAGAGGGCCGGGCCGGGGGTGGGGGGTGCAGAGCTCTAGCGAGAGGCGGCGTCGCCAGGGCCCAGAACTCGCATCGCTCGGCGGAGCGGACAGGAGACAGGGAGAGCGCGAGGGAGCCGCGGCCAGCGGGGAGCGCGAGAAGAGGCGGGCAGGGAGGGCA